CGAGCAGCGAGCAGGTCTCGCTGCGCTGCCAAGCGCTCCTGCAACCCCATTCTCGCAGATGAGTTAGACTAAACCAATGCTGCTACGCCTCTTTGGCGTTCCTCTTTGGCGTTCATGCAGCCCACGGCCCGCGAGACCTCAGCCCCAACGCTTCATGATCCTCCGCCGTCGCCACCGCCGTCGCCGCCTCCACCCTTCCCTTCTTCCAACAGGCTAACCCCCCAATGCTTTGACCCAAAAAAGGAGCTCGCGTCACACACACCCCCGACGAACGACCTCTCAACGGTGCTCAGTGGTGGTCGGGGTCTGGGGCGTGTGTGACGCGAGCTCCTTTTTTGGGTCAAAGCATTGGGGGGTTAGCCTGTTGGAAGAAGGGAAGGGTGGAGGCGGCGACGGCGGTGGCGACGGCGGAGGATCATGAAGCGTTGGGGCTGAGGTCTCGCGGGCCGTGGGCTGCATGAACGCCAAAGAGGAACGCCAAAGAGGCGTAGCAGCATTGGTTTAGTCTAACTCATCTGCGAGAATGGGGTTGCAGGAGCGCTTGGCAGCGCAGCGAGACCTGCTCGCTGCTCGTCAAACTGGTCAAGCATACAAACAAAAGGCATCTGCTTCATCGACTCCCTTGTTGAGTGCACCGCAATTATGCATCTCAACTGCTCGAACCCGCCTTTCCTCATCTCTGCGAGGCCTGAGCCGGTTCGGCCCTGAGGAGCTCTACGGCATGGCGGCCGAGGGAGAGGTAGCGAGCCTGTGCGTTTTTGCTTCGAATTACACAATGCCAGAGTTTTTGGCGCGAATTTTGATTCGTTTGATCATGGTGGCATTGCACCACAATCAAACCCACACGGTGCTTGTGCTACTCGGTTACTTGGATGTGATCGAGGATGACACGCTACTGCAGTTGGCGCTCTTCCGAGCCAACACCACAGCCGCCATGCATATCCGCCGCCGCATGCGGAACCAAGCCTTACCTGACCCATGCAAAGATCACCCAGTGGCTCAGAACATCTGGCAAATGTTGGGCCTTATTGAGGCCCTACACTCGGGTCGCATCAGCTCCTCCCTCTGGATTCTAGCCCGGCTGGTGGCCAACCATCAGCTTGCAGCCTCGCGCGTCATGTGTCTTCGATTTGATATTCTTCCAGATCATCTTCTATCTTTGCAGCAAACGGGTGCCTATTCGACGTTACAGCGTTGCCTCTTCAGTCTCGGCGAACCCAGCGGGTCGATCGCTAAGCAGCTTGACCTCTCCACTGCTTGTGGAGCAGCCCTGATGCTTCATCTGCGAGTATCGGGGGCTTCGTCTTTTGTGCAAGTGCAAAAGCGCTTGGATGTCAGAGAAACACTGGCAAGGTGGCGTCGATACCGCTCCAAGCACATGGGCCACCAAAAGTCATCATCAGAGCAAATCGATCGGCCACCTCGCCCTTTGGAGCGGGGGGTTCACACGGGACTTTTGGCCGAGCACCTGGCACAACTGCACACACCAGATCCATTGACATTTCAACCGGCTTTGCCGCGTGAGTGGGCTCGTATCGAGGTGAAACGGCGTAGTTCTTCAGCACCTGAGCCTCACGCATCGCAGCCGATCAAACCACCTCACCATGGGGTTGATCCAAGGCAGCAGCCACAAAGCTTGCAGCGCAAAGCGCCAGATATGGCTGGCATTGCTGCTCGTCGCACATCAGCAGCTTCCCTCAAACTGCCGGAGACTTCACCACCTCGCACTGACAGTGCCATGCCGCCACTCGTAACACCGGAGAAGCCTGATCTGGTGAAGCATCCTGCCGCGGTTGATCCTCTGACGAGCTCGCCCCCACCTTCTATCGTGGAGACCGCAGCTAGTGCAGCGCCGATCGCAGGACCTGCCCAGGTGCACAAGGCCCCTTTGACCTTTCAAGAACCAGGCACCACCCAAGAACAAGCTCCTCATCGGGCCACGCATGTGGTTTCTCATGAGGCCGCAGCAGCCACGGATGCGGTTACTCACGACGCCGCAGCAGAATCAGAGGATGAGGATTCAGACTCCGAGGATGAGTCTGCTCCCATCTTACCACCTCTGGCCTCCAGCGTATTGCGAGATGAACCGATTGATCCTGACACATGGTTTGGCATCGTGGATCGCGGAGACACTCCAGCATTGGAGAGGCTGTGTGCGGTCCAGCCCAGGGGCTTGCGGTTGGTCGACAAAACCCAGCAAACGCTATTGCATTTGGCTGTGCTGGCCCATCAACCCGAGATGGTCAAGCGACTCCTCGAACTTGGCTTGGAGGTGAATGCCTTGGGTGGCAGCTTGCGGGAGACACCCTTGCACATTGCATGTCGCCAAGAACAGATACAGTCTGCCCGCCTGCTGTTAGATGCTGGTGCAGACTCGACCTTGACCGACATCAACTTTGAATCGGCCCGCGACATTTGCTCTGGGTCGTTTCGTCGCCAACTGTTTGCTGCCACTTCACAACAGGGTGAGTCTGCTTCTGAGGCGGCGACCCGGGCGCGGTGCAGACACACCAGAGGCATGCAAACAGGACTACACAGTACCAGTGCTAGCGAGATCACCGGCGTGGACCACGCTTTGTCTCATGCTTATCAATCCCCCCTTTTCCACCCTCTCCACCTCTCTCTGATCTCTCTCACTCGCACCCTGTAGGCTCGGACAGTCAAGCCACGGATAAGCAGCGGCGCATCGCCGAGGCATTGGAGGCGGCACGGGCTCGTAAGTATCGTGGTGGTTTATAGCCAGTTGGACACGCTATAGTTTGTCAGACAGCCCTGGCTCATGATGCGTGTGGGTGTGTGGGTGTGCATCCTTCATAGGCGCCTCAGCTGGGAACCAGAAAGCGTCTGCCAAGCGCGTTGCTGATAGTTCTGGCACGATGGGCGCATCCGCGGTGGCATGGCCCCTTTGCACGGTGGACGAAGCCGGGGCTGAGACAGAAGACGTTGACGGATTTGCCATCACCGCCCTTCCTCTGGCCAAGCGGCAATCGCCAGGACATCGGCCCTCGAATGAGGGCATTTTTTCCGTCACATATGGCGGGGAGCAGATTGTTTTGGCGGCAAGTAATCAGGACTTCTTGCCCGAGGTCTTAGTGCAGCATGAACCGGAGGCAGAAGCACGACGCAAGGCATAGCGCCGATAAAGGACCAAACCAGTGAAAAAAAAAAGAAAAAAAAATCAAGAGGAATTCACGCGACCGGTTTCACTTTCGTGCAACGACCAAGGCAGGGTGTCTCAAAGCTTGCTCGAATCACGCACAGCCATTCATCATTAGACTCCTGACTCAAGACAGTCAACTTTTTTTTTTATTTATAAGACAACTGCGGACAATTTTTCGCCTTGGGAACTCGGGTTTTGGTCGAGACCGTTTTCATGCGGGTGGGCCGGACGGTAGCTGTGGCTGCTGCTGCCTGGGCAGGGTCTTGGGGAGTGCGGCAGGCGGTAGAGGCAGAGCGGCGGCCGGGCATACAAACGGTGCTGGTGATTGGGGGTAACACTGGAGCTGCCCACGCCACCATCTCGCGCCAAGGTGCGGCTGACGGCTTGCCTATCTCGAATCGATCGACTCAGTGCTCACGCTCGAACTTTTGGTCTAGTGTTTGCTCTTCGCTTTTGCCAGGGCAAATGTCTTGATGAGCAGTGGCAAGCACGGCAAGATCTCGTACATGCGCGACGGGGCGCCACTGCTGTCGCGCTATCAGCGACTCGTTTCGTCGTCTTCGGGGGCCAAGACTGCACCGGCCGACATCGTGCTGATCTAGAGGTGCATGATACAATCAAGGGCGATGTACGGGCTCTGAAAGGTGTGTCCCCCCCCCCCCCCCCCA